GAAGAATAAGGGTTAGAGAAAGAACGTGAAAGCTGTTGGAAAAGAGGAAAGAGCATAATGGAAATTCAACCGGAAAAGTCATAGAGCGACCTTCAATCCAAGATAAGGGTGGGGTTCTGACTCTATAATAGGGTTCATGATAATTGGTATGTGGGATTAGAGGTGAAATACTATTTGGTTTATGATTGAATTATGTATGATGTTGTATGCTGGAAATCGATGATTGAAAGATGAATGATGATGTCCCAATGCTGTATATTTGATGTAGAATTATAGGATAATTGTAATTGATGATTATCTATGATTAGATGATGTTTTTAGGGCCTAAAGTATGGAACCCGTAGTGAAAACACAGAGAAATCGCAGAAAATATCCTTAGCAGAGCAGTATGTGTCGACCCCAAACATTATGTGTCGATACAAGAAGGTCTTTAAACTCAGGATGAGTCGATGCGAAGGGGTCCTGCATCGATACATGAGGGATTTCAGACTCAGGATGAGTCGATAAGTAAGAGCATGTGTCGATACATGCAATGTGGTAGACTCAGTATAAGTCGATACAAGAGAGGATGCATTAACTCATGTAGCGTGTTCAGTTCAGAATGCGTCGACCCAAGGCATTATGTGTTGATCCATGTTGTCTGGTTTTTGGAAGAATCAGTTTGAAAAGGCTGTAACTTGAGTTTTCAGACTCCGTTTGAGGTGTCGTTCGAAGCTTTGAATAGCTAACGCGATGAACTTCATTCTTAAGGATTAAAATGAAGAATAGGAAGGATAATCCTAGTATCCAAATTAAGATTTGAGTTAGTTCCCGCAGTAATCGTTATGTTGATTTTTGTGAAGAATGATGAGGATGAAATGTTTATAGATTACTGTCTGAATTGTAACAATAGGATTAATGATGATAATGATGTAGTATTACAAAATAATAATATGCAGAGGTTTGGTAATTTAGAAGTAAGCCTTAGTTGATTAATTAGTCATAGGCGATATCATGTTGTAGGCCTATGGCCAATGTTGCGAGATTGATGAGTCACTGTTGTATTACTGTACGGATGAGTTATTGATGAGATGATGTTAATGAGATTTTGTTTGATGAATTACGATGATAAATGATGTTGATTAACGATGTTGATGTAAGATGTTGAAATGCCTCTAATAATTGGCATCTTTTAAGATGTAGGCTTATGGCCAACGATGATGTTTGTGTTGAGATGTTGTTAATTGTTGTGGTGTCATTACATTCATGATTATGTCACATACATTGCATTTTAAGATGGAGCTTATGCTCGTTAAGATGACCTGCATTGGAGAATATTAAGATGAAGGCTTATTCCTTGTTGATGCCTTTACTTATTGGCAAATTTTTAAGATGGGAGTTCTGCTCCAATGGTACCACATGCATTTGCATAGTATTGAGTCGCATTATATGATTGCATAAAAAATTTGTGAATTTATGGGATGGATGTGTATTATTGTTGGTATTTTCTTTGCAATTATTGTTGATTAAAAGATGAGAAGTGGTGACGTTATGTGATCTAATTTAATATATTGGTTATCATACGCTTTATTATATTGTTAGATATCTCACCCCTTCTATTTGAATGTTGCCCTTTTGTTGGTAATGTGTAGGTAATCGAGAGTGAAGGCGGTATACCTTCAATAGTTCGAGTCAGTGTCGTTGCTCTGATATGTAACACTCGGGGGATGAACGCTTGTTGCTTTAATTATTGATTATTTCAGTTGTTGAACTTTAATTTGATCGTTATTAAATATGTGTTGTTTTGAAGTTGTTGTAACGATGATAAAGATGTTATTAAGAATTCCGCTGCGTAGATGTTAAATTGTTGAATTATTTAATTAAAGTATTTATGCTGATGGTTCATCCTAAGTTTTAAAGTGTTATGTATCCACGTCGAATGCAATGAGTTATTAAAGATGAATTTGTAGCATCCTGATTCGTTTGCATGAATGATTATAACTTTGATTTACATTTATAATTGTCGGGTAAAATTGGGGTGTTACAGTGTCTCTTTCACAAGATGAACAACTAGATGTACCATTATGTCAAAAAATGAGGGAGGAAAATACATTTCAAGCTCACACAAAGTAATAACAATTTCTTTTTGCAATGTTGGTAAGATCTCAGGATCAATCACCTTACTACAAATTGACCTAAATAAAAAACACAACTTAGTTATCGCGCTCCTTACTTTATCTGGCAAAATAGAACGTATACCTATTGGTTGAAAATACTCCATTATAACATGGAAATCATGTGTCTTTAAACTCTTTAACTTGAGGTCTTTCATAGGCACAAGTCTTCTAATATTTGAAGAGTATCCTTCTGGAACTTTAACTTCACTTAGAAAGTTACACAATATCTTTTTCTCCTTTCTAGATAGAGTAAAAGCACCAGGTGGTAGATATGTTCGGCTTCCTTTCTTCACAGGTCCTAGTTCAGTTTGTATTCTCATCTTTAAAATGTCTTACCTTGCTTTAAGTTCATCCTTAGACTTTCCTTTAATATTGAGTAACTTACCAATAACACTTTTAAATACATTTTTTTCCATATGCATAACATCGAGAAAATGTCTCACATACAGAGACTTCCAATATGGCAATTAAAAAAAATCGATCTCTTCTTCCACCCACCTTTGACAACCGTATGCGCAAAAGACTTGCCAAACTGAGTACACACATCTTTCACCTTTTTCAAAAATTTGGTCACCTTACAATGTAGGTGGAGCTTTACGTTGTTCGATGTCTCCCTTGAATGCTTTTCTCCATGCACAGTAGTGATGTTTAGAATATAATAATCTTCGATGACCGAGAAACACATTCTTCTGACAAAGTTCCAAACGCGTCGTATCGGTTCCATCTTCACAAACAGGACACACACGTTGACCTTTAATGCTATACCCAGATAGATTCCCGTAAATTGTGTCAAACAACATCGCTCTTAAATTGAAACTTTGTTTCCTATATCCATCATAAACCTCCACTCTGTTCTCCCACAAAATCTTTAAATCTTTGATCAAAGGTGTCAAGTATACGTCTATGTCATTCCCTGGTTGTTTAGGCCCAAAAATTAACATAGATAAAATCATGTACTTACGCTTCATACATAGCCATGGAGGTAGGTTATAAATCATTAGAATCACAGGCCATGTGCTATGTGAGATACTTTAAAGACCATGAAGGTTCATTCCATCAGTAGATAAATCCAAGTGAAGGTTTCTTGCATCTTCTCCAAAATCAGGATAATCATTATCAATTTTTGACCACTGTGGTGAATCTATCTGATATCGATATTTTCCATCAATAATTATTTCATCTTCATGCTAAGTTAGGTGTATTGCATCGGTTTCACTATGAAACATGCGCCTAAATCTCATAATTATAGGAAAATATCATAAGACTTTTGTTGGAGACAATTTTTCTTATATCGAGACAAACCGCATTTAAGGCACTCATTTAACGGTGCATATTCGTTTCGAAACAGAGCACAATCGTTTGGACAAGCATGTATCTTATCATAGCTCATGCCAATAGAGCACAACATTTTTTTTGGCCACATAGGTTCGATTGGGAAGAACATTATCCTCCAGAAGCATATCTCTCATAAGGGCTAATAACTCTGTGAAACTTTTATCTGACCATCCATTGCCCGCCTTTAAGTTGTAGAACTTTAATACCGCAGACAGTCTTGTGAATTTAGTGCAACCTTTATACAATGTTTTCTCTGCATCTCTTACCAATCTCTCAAACATTTTGGGACAATCCTGAAGATCTTCTTCAAGTGCATCTGCAATCTCTTCGACTTGATCAAAATCGTATGTATCTGTGTCCTTGTCGTCTGAAGCATAGGTTGTACTACTTTTCTCCCTCGGTTCAACGTTGTCGTTACTTTTTTCACCGTGAAATATCCAACATGTATAACTTCTATCAATTCCATGCATTAGTAAATGCGATTTCAATCCATCTGCGTCAACCCGACCCACATAACAACAACCCAAGCAAGGACACTTCATTCGACTGGGGTCTTTGGCGTGTTCAACAACAAACTTAACGAATTCCAATACCCCATTCTCGTACTATTTTGACAATCGATCGACAGACATCCATTTTTTATCCATTTTTTCTACTAATTCAAGTAAAGAAAAACACTATAAACGGATTATTCTCTTTTTGTTTGAATTAAAGGAATTATTTCTAGAAATTTATTTCTAGAGTTATTAACATCGACTAAAAATAAATATATCTATATAAAAATAATTGTGTTTTTTAATTGACCAATACAGATAGAATTTGAACTTGACTTACCAAAGAAAGAAAAGGGGTTATTGGTGTCGACGGCGGATGATGCGGCTTTGATGTTCTTTGAATCGGTGATGGTCTTCGACTAACTACACCAATACAAAGGGATCATCAAAAATAAGTTGTATAAAATATAAAATGATTAAATAGAAATAATTTCTCTTCATAATATAAAATAAAAAAAATTTAAAAAACATAGATTTATAGTTGAAAATTAATGAAGTTATAACTTTAACTAAAATATTTAATTTCAAAAATGAAAAATAATGAGCGAGAGTGTTGTTAAAATTATTTCATAATAAAATATAAATTGTATCTATTACTGAAAAAGGAAAATAAACTATATTGATTTACCAGATCAAATCCATATTTAATTGAGTCTGCGTATGCCTTTGAATTAATTAAAAGATATAAAAGGTCAATCTATATTAATTTGTTTTTATAGAATAGAAATTAAAATTTAGTGTCCGAAAAAAATCATGCATATTATAGTATCTGTCTATCTATATGGTAGTATAAGATTATAAACAAGATTGCAATTCAGAAGAACATTACTTTATTTTCAATATATGAAGACAACACATGCTATTTGATTGCTACTTATTTATTTAAAGGTGAGTCCATCCAATTACATTGCTTTAATACAATGAGAGAAATTGACTTGCATATAATAATAAAGATTTAAATTCCAGCAAATTTTTCCATTGGAGCCTCTTGTGATCCAATTGAATGATGATAATTAACATACTCATCATAGTTAAATGGACGGTAGCGTTTAGGGTAGTTTTCATTATCCACAAGTTCAGATGGCCCCTTAATGATCAAGCCTTCCCTTGGCACAGAAAAAAATACAAATACAAATCTCTCTTCATCCTTTGCCACCACTCTGTGTGTGGCCGCCTCAAGTCTCCCATTACTCCATGCCTGTATTAAGCATTGTGAAAGAGACAAACAAAAATAAATGAATGATGAAAACCATTTCGCATAAACTCAATTTCTCTATTATAAGTTGATATTTATTACCTGCAATATATCACCAACAACTACCACAAAGCCATTTGGAGGAATATTTATGTCAACCCAATTGTCGGTTTTCGATAGCAACTGCAGACCTTGAACTCCATTGTCACATATGAAGGAAATAGTTCCTTTGTCTGTGTGAGGTACCAAACCAATATTAGAACCTTTTGTCTCTTCAGAAGTTAAATACTTAGTCATGCGTGCATCATTGTAGCTATTCAACTCTCCAATATCCAACTTGTAATGTTGTGGAAGTTCAAAGGCTTCCACAACCATCTTCAAAATAAGAGAACTTAGTTCACGAGTTTTCGAGCTATAGGAACTTAGCGCCGCACTGCATGTATATCACATATTTTAATAAATTATTTTGAAATTAAATATGCTAAACTAATTTTACTCAAAATAGTTTAAAAGAATATGTAACTGAAATTATACAATCAAAATTCATACATGTCTAGCAAGTCTATATGTGTGTGATGTATTTTAATTAAATAAAATATTAATTACCTTAAAGTTGGATTTCCTTGAGGCCACATGAGATCAATGAAGTCTTGTTGAGCCGTATCTGGATTACGATCATTATCAATTCCAAAACTTTCAGCATAGGGAATGACACAACTTTTTGCAGTGTATCCCCTATAAGGTCTTGGGCTACAGAACTTCTTCTTAGTTTCTTCAGGTAAATCAAACAATGATTTCATACTTGTGAAAAATTCATCATGTAAATCATTTGTGATATCATCACACCTTATGAGAAAGCAACTATGACTCTCAAATGCTTGTCTCACTTTCTTGCTCATTTCTTTCCATCCTTCGCCCCCTTCTTCTAACTTCAATCTAATATTCCTGTTGAAATCCAAAATTGGGATCTCATTCTCACTACCCATTTTCTTTTTCTTTTTTATTTCTTTTGCACTATATTTTGTTATTTATATTGTATTATTTTTTATAGAGGCACAACTAGATATTTATACTGAAAAGATGAGTGAGTTATGAAATTTGATGTCAATGTAAGTCAGATTTTATTTTATTTTTTAATTTGTTTTATCTAGAAATTCTAATTTGTTTTTTATCTAGAAACTCTAATTTCTTTTTATCTAGAAATTCTAATTTGTTTTTTTATCTAGAAACTCTAATTTCTTTTTTATCTAGAAACTCTAATAGATAGATTAACATAAAATTTTATGTCAATTAAATCAATTTTTTTTTGTTTTTAATAAATATCTAATAGGTAAGTAAAATAAAAAGAAAATATTTTTTCTAACATTAACACGTAAGTACGAAGTGCGCCTAAGAGGTGGAGGGTGAATTAGGTACTTTAAAATTTTCTAGTTTTAGTGATGATGGATATTATTTTTCTGGTTTATGGTGAGTTTATGAAAGAGTAAAGTGCAGAAAAATAAAGAGACACAAGTGATATATTCTGGTTCCCCTGGCAGTCCGAGAGTACTCCAGTCCCCTTTGAACATGAAAGAGATTTCCTTATTGTGGCAAACTTAAACAAGAACTACCCAAAACCAAGAACAATCCTCTTGGACCAAGAACAATTCTCTTGGATTTTCACTATGTCAACAATGAGAACAATCCTCTCAAAGCGACTTCACTTATATCCAACAATCCTGGAAAAACAAGATTACAAAACCACTTGAACTTATTTTCAACAATCCTGAAAAATAAGCAAGTATATAGCAATATTTGATTTGAGTGAGTTTGTGTAGCAATGATCACTTTGAGTGATTTTTATCAATGAATTGATCTTCTCTTCCAATAACAATAGTATACAATGACTCAAGATATATAATGCTCAAAGTTTTCTGGTTGACAATATGTGAAAGTGTGCAGAAAACTTGTATATGAAAGTGTATAAAAGCTTGAGTTTAAATTTTGAAAATTCAGAAAATATGATTGGAAGAGGTACATGAAATGATTTTGAAAATGAGTATTTATATGTTCATAACACCCTTTTGAAATAACATATAATTATGCAAATAAATCATGAACAATTACCAAGATTGAATAAATCATGAACTTTTATCTGACCATCCATTATCCGCCTTTAAGTTGTAGAACTTTAATACCGCAGACAGTCTTATGAATTTAGTGTAACCTTTATACAACGTTTTCTCTGCATCTCTTACCAATCTCTCAAACATTTTGGGACAATCCTGAAGATCTTCTTCAAGTGCATCTGCAATCTCTTCGACTTGATCAAAATCGTATGTATCTGTGTCCTTGTCGTCTGAAGCATAGGTCGTACAGCTTTTCTCCCCCGGTTCAACGTTGTCGTTACTTTTTTCACCGTGAAATATCTAACACGTATAACTTCTATCAATTCTATGCATTAGTAAATGCGATTTCAATCCATCTGCGTCAACCCGACCCACATAACAATAACCCAAGCAAGGACACTTCATTCGACTGGGGTCTTTGGCGTGTTCAACAGCAAACTTAACGAATTCCAATACCCCATTCTCGTACTCTTTTGACAATCGATCGACAGACATCCATTTTTTATCCATTTTTTCTACTAATTCAAGTAAACAAAAACACTATAAACGGATTATTCTCTTTTTGTTTGAATTAAACGAATTATTTCTAGAAATTTATTTCTAGAGTTCTTAACATCGACTAAAAATAAATATATCTATATAAAAATAATTGTGTTTTTTAATTGACCAATACAGATAGAATTTGAACTTGACTTACCAAAGAAAGAAAAGGGGTTATTGGTGTCGACGGCGGATGATGCGGCTTTGATGTTCTTTGAATCGGCGATGGTCTTCGACTAACTACACCAATACAAAAGGATCATCAAAAACAAGTTGTATATATATATATATATATATATATATCTGTGTGTGTGTGTGTATATATATATATATATTTATGGCTATAATAGCCTAAATCTACAAACCTTAAGAATTTGTTCTTAGACAAGTTTTTTGTGAAAAATTGTATGAGCAACAAATCTCTTATGAGTCTTTTCTATCATATTATATTTCTTTCCAACAGAAACACCGTATTTAGGAGTATTAATACTTAAACAATTCTGAAAATTATATCAGTAAAATAATATTAAAAGTAATGAAATCAAGCAACCAACAAGTAAAAAAATACTAGTTCATGGAGAATATAAACACGATAAACAATTCAGAAACCAATTAAAATAACAAAAAAAAAACATCATCATCTTTTTTATTCCAAAACAAAGAACCAAAAGAAAAACATTCAGAAAGTTCTTACTTAATAATCATATACACATACATAGAGAGAGTGATTGATAAATTATAATATATAACATTGCTTCCTCTTCTGACTTCTCATCACATTTGATGACAAACCAACAAAGATGATACAAAATGCAATAATGCATGACAATAATACAAAATGCAATAATGAAACATACATAAACTGAATCCAAACTTCAAAAACAATAATATCTTAGAAGTGTTGCTGAAAGTGCAATAACTCCCCCTTTGTATGAGAAGGTTGGAATCCTTTGAATTTGTTCATCTTGGTTGAAGAGTACCTTAAAAATTCAAGACCGGAAATATACAAGCATCAAGTGCCACATCCTTATCCCCCTTTAACATTATCAAAAAGAAGGGAAATATGAAATAAAAATGGATAGTAATAAAACAATATTGAAAAAGCTTAATCAATTATATGTGAAAGCATAAAAAAGGATAGAAAGCACCTTATATGCGGTGTTCATCAGGAATGCCAAGTTCACATCGAATCTTGTAAAACGGTTATCCTGCCAAAGGTTTAGTGAAGATATTGGCAAGTTGATTATGAGTATCTACAAATGTGACCTCGACATATCCTTGAAGTACATGATCATGAAGGAAATGATGTCGTATGTCGATGTGTTTGGTTCTTGAATGCATGACTGGATTCTTTGTAATGTTTATTTCATTTGTATTGTCGCACCATAGAGGAATGCATCCTAGATCGCGTCCGTAGTCATGAAGTTGTTGCTTAAGCCACAATATTTGAGCGCAACTACTACTCGCTGCAATATTTATATGCTTCGGCCGTGCTAAGAGAAACACATGCTTATTTCTTGCAAGCCCATGATACTAATGCATTTCCAAGGATGTGACAAGTACCACTTGTGCTTTTTCTATCAGTTTTACAACCTGCATAATCCGCGTCAGAATAACCAACTAAATTACAAACACTACCTTTAGGATACCATAATCTAACATGTGTTATTTCTTTGAGATACTTCATGATCCATTTCACCACCATGAGATGATATTCCTTTGGATTTGCTTGAAAGCGAGCACATAGACAAACACTGAACATTATGTCAGGACGGCTTGCCGTCAGATATAATAAGGAGCCAATCATACCTCGATATTTTGTAACGTCAATGGAAACACCTGATTCATCTTGATCAACATATGTACCGGAACCCATTAGTGTAGACATTGCCTTACAGTTATCCATGTCAAATCTTTTCAACAGTTCCTTGCAATACTTGGATTGGTTGATAAAGATGCCATCCTTTAATTGCTTGATTTGAAGTCCAAGAAAATAATTCATTTTACCCATCATGGACATCTCAAATTCTCCTTGCATTATTGCTGAAAATTCTTCACATATTTATTTGTTTGAAGATCCAGAAATGATATCATCAACATATACTTGAACTAGAAAAGTGTCACCTATGTTTTGCTTGATAAACAATGTCTTGTCAACTTTACCTTTTTCAAAACCTTTTTCACATAAGAAGTTACTTAGCCGATCATACCATGCCCTCGGTGCTTGTTTCAAACCATAGAGAGCTTTCCTCAATTTAAATACCCGAGATGGATTCTTGAAATCTTCGAACCCCGGGGATTGCTTAATGTAGACTTCTTCATTGATATATCCATTCAAGAATGCACTTTTGACATCCATTTGGAAAAGCTGAAAATTTAATGAACAAGCATAGGCAAGTAAAAGACAAATAACTTATAACCTTGCAACTGGAGCGAAAGATTCTTCAAAATATATTCCTTCTTCTTGATTGTATCCTTGTGCTACCAACCTTGCTTTGTTCTGAACAATTATTCCATTTTCGTCAAGTTTGTTTTTAAATACCCATCTTGTTCCAATAATGTGTTTGTTGCTTGACCTAGGGACAAGTTCCCAAACTTGATTCCTTTCAAATTGATTTAACTCTCCTTGCATAGAAATAATCCATTGTCCATCGCCTAAGGCTTCATCAACTTTGGAAGGTTCAATTTGAGAGACAAACGCCATGTTTAGACAAGCATATTTGAGATTTAGTCTTGTTGTTACACCTTGACTTATATAACCAATTAATTTATCGATAGGATGATCTCTATGAGTTCTCCATTCTTTTGGTAGATCATTGAAATTTTATTCTTGTTGGGGTGATTCTTCTTGTTGAATTGGTTGATCTTTGGAAGTATTTTCTTGAGAACCTTCTAGTATTTCATCATCATCATCATTACAAACAATATTATCCTTCTTGGAGGGGTTAGATTCATCAAAAGATACATGCATTGATTCTTCAATTGTTAAAGTTCTTTTGTTATAACTTCTATATGCCTTACTAGAAATAGAGTAACCAAGAAAAATACCTTCGTCAGATTTTTCATCAAACTTACCAAGGTTATCTTTGTCGTTGTGTAAGACAAAGCATTTGCAACCGAAAATATGAAAGAAAGCAATGTTTGGTTTCCTCACTTTGAAAAGTTCATATGGAGTTTTCTTCAAGATTGGTCTTATGTTAACTCTATTGCTAACAAAACATGTTGTGCTCACCGCATCTGCCCAAAAATATTTTGGAAGATTTGAATCGCTAAGCATCGTTCTTGCAAGCTCTACAAGAGACCTATTCTTTCTTTCCACCACTCTATTTTGTTGAGGA